TGAAGGATGAGCGCCCCATTGGCCATTTGCCTTTCCTCCCCCGATCCAGCGCCACGTGCTACACCAAACCGGGAATCTCCTCCTTACGTTGTCATGACACGTACGTGTCTCTGTTATTATTACCGAGACTATCGTGCTAGAAAAATATTCATATGCGCAGTGGTAATAATAACGCTAATGAAATAACTAATTTTATACAAGGAAGTATGCGCAATAGTGGGCACTCTGACAAGGAATTTTATTTAATATGGTGGCTGCCAAGCAGATTTCCTTAGGTTGTGTAATTCCCATCATTAGTGTCAATCATATCAACACTTTGGTCCGACAAGTTCCAATTAACACCGTCCAAACCCATCCAGTGACAGTGGCTGTACATATCAGTGTCATACATACAGATTGTTGCCAAAAATGAGAGACCTACTTTGAAGAACGATTCCTCGTACAATTACGAGTCAAAATGTCTTTTTCCATTTTACAATACGAGACTTCGTTATCAAGATAAGAGTGAAGTTCTTATAGTCGCATGGTCAGCTGACCGGTGATACAAAATGGCGTCTCCCAGGATTCGCATTAATCAATTTTAACTGCTCATAACCAAGCGACGAAGCTTCCGATTGGAAAATGGTAGAGGACTTTACGATCTTAAGAAGGATAAAATCTTACGCCACGAAGAGGATAAAATAAAACGAATAACATAAACTCCTGTGCCACAAAATGGATGAAATTTCATGCCACGAAGAGGATAAAATTCCACGCCGCGAAGGGGTTGAAATTTCATACCACGAATACACGATTCCTCATACTTTACCGCCATAGCCAACGATCGTGACTAAACGGTTGATTCTTCCGTGTTTATCGCCGCGATCATAACCGTCGAAAAAGAGCCACGACGTCGCGCCAACGACCACGAACGATCGTAAAAGCTGCGCGATCGATGATAATAGACGTACATAAACGCGAAACATCTAGATCGCAGGAGAACGCCACGCAGAACCGAAATAAATTGAGTACGTAAGTACACCCCAAGTGACACGCGACCACCACCACCGAAGACGGCTGCTCGGTGACATCGCCGGCATAGATTACTCGTAGATCGCGGCATAGATTACTCGTACATCGCTCCAATATACCTGTCAGATGCACAACTGCATAATGCATCACCGGTGTTTTGGTTGGCAGCAACGAGGTCAAGATTAAATTTCCCTACTTCCGTTCTCACTGTCAACGCTACACCTACTCGTACGATTTATTTCGTATTTTGTTCTCTGCGCCGGCTTTCAAATTAGCTTTCACGCCAGACCTCGGCTGTAAATCGCTCGCACCACGGATAGGAAAATTTTTATTTGAATGGGTACTCCAGATAATTAGTAATATATAATCACTAGAAGTTTGTGATTTCAACGGCTCAAATTTTAATGAGATTTTATCGTAGGTAGATTTAGTACAGCGTGAATATAAACGCGATGAGTTAATGTGTATTACGTAAACGTTGTCTGATGTTTGATCTGTAATTTATAATTGGTTCTATTTATTGCAATTCACCCTTCCTGTCCGTAGAGGTTGCGCGCTACTTTATAAAACAGTGTTAGACATGTAAACTATTGCTCAGAAAAGTTTTCTCCTTATTATCTTATAGCACAGCGACTTAACGAAATTGTCCACATTAGCGTAAATAGCCGTTGAGTGCGGAAATGATTAATAAAAGTTATCAACAGAAACTTTGCATACTTTGTACGTCGTATTACTATGGTCAGAATTGTTACAACCGAGTGTACGTCAGTTTCAAACACGTACGCGGATTATAATGGAGCGAACGACATGATCGAAGGTCTAAAACCAGTCGTGGAAAACTGGAACAAGACAGGGCGACTCGATTGATCAAGGGGGTAGTCCGGTCTAGAGACATCGAATTTAGATTCGACGTATTAATTTTTCAAAAAGTCTCGGACACGTTGATCTCAAATTTCGCGTATTGTACTTTCAAATTGATCCAAGCCCAATAGATTCTGTTGAATTTGCTCGTACGCCTCGGTCGATAGCTTCTTATGTTCTTTAACGCGGGATTAAAAGGTCATTCTTATGTAAATTTCTTGATTAGCCCGTCGTATGAATTATTGGAAGAAGTTCGATTAGACGTACGTCGCGCGTGATTTATGCATGACGGTGCACCGTTTCATTTCAGCCGAGTAGCCAGACGATTCTTGAAGGATTTTCTGACGGATGGACATGTTCTATAGACCTTATTGCCTGGTCTGCTCGTCGCACGGATTTAAATCCGCCGAGTTTCTATTCTCGTGGCCACTTCGAAACATTTGTTTATTCAGCATCCACCGACGATCTTAAAATACCCCGGCCAACGTATAGGGAAAATCTTAACGAATCTAATAAAATATCTGGAGCAGCTCTTCGCTGTTGGATAATCAGTGGAAGGTACTCGAGTCTAAAATGTTCACTTCCGTTCGTGAATTAGAAATTATAGCGAACCGTTTGATTTTTCTGGATAAATTATAAGGGACGTTACAATTTAAACAAAAATTCATTCGCTTCTCCAGTGTCAGGTGTAAGTTCGAGTTCCGTCTTTCCCATCGAATATCAAGAAACTTTATGACAGGATATTTGCAAGCTCGTATTTGGGTCGAAGGTGGCCATTTCGGGCACTTCCTGTGAAAGGTAAGCAACTGCCATTACCGAAGCACAAAAATGGATGTTGCTTGGGGAAGAAGGTAAAATAGGGCACATGTTTGTATGGACTTTTTTCATTGTTTTTGTGTCCTCGATCGATCGCTCAAGTTGGTCCCACATGTTCGGAGGCATCGTGTACATATGCACCGATGCAAGGCGACTCGTGTCACTGATGTATTTCCTGTTGTTATAATAGAAACTAATGACTCGATGCAAGCAGAGACTTAAAGTGGCCATCCCAATCTAGCACTTTTGTTTTATTTTTTCTATATTGATATTTTCCATTTCTTCTGTTTCAGGCTACATGGTCGTGGTAATTTACAAAAAAAAATGCATTTACGAAGAAATCCATTCCTTACCCAATTTTATTAATAAATATAGCGAGTATACATTTTTATTCCAATCTGTAACATAATCACTAATCTATCTTTAGCATTGAAATTATGATTGGGGTTTTGTTTTATATGGATGAATCTTGAATGTTAATTGTATATTCATTTAATACCATTAAATCTTTCTTCAGTTTCGATCAATTTTATAGTTGCAATCCAAGCAACTATATGTCATCGAAATGTTGCTACGGAAATAACGAAAAAAATCGTAAAACTGTATTCTCCGCGAATCGACAGTTTGAAGCCTATATAACAGGGCACATGTACTATTACATATATTGTAGAAGTTATGAAGTTTCGAGGAGTACGGCGCATAAAGGGAGCAGGCATAACCAGCACGGTTCAAGTAGGTACCAGTCGAACTTTAAACGCGTTTTCCTCGAAACTACATTTTCCGGAATACCGAGAAGGATAACTTGGACACTAATGGCCCTAGGAATTAGGATAATACGCTTATCCTTACCAATTTCTCTCTATCCTCGACGTAAAAAGCGAATTTTTGATGAAATTTCAACCGAAAAACCAGACGACGTCCCAGAATATTCCAACCTACTCCAAGGCTCGTTAAACTTTTTTCATTCCAGCTATACGTAAGACGGAATTAATAACTACCATCGGTTTCGTAAAAACTCCGTTTCATCCTCCGCAGACGGATAAATATTCTGCCATATCAAAGTAGAGAAACAGAAAATATTATACTAAGACTTTTCCAAAAGAGGCTTTTAGCATATCGTACCCTTAAACTCACTTGGTCCTAATCAAATAAAAAATATATTCCAGCATTCTCGTTTGATTGAAAAACAAACTCCTCAAAGCCTCTGTAGGAGAACCCTTTATTTCCGAAAATTGCCGCGACCCCGAGAGAGAGGGTCTCGGCGCAACCCTCGCGAGAGGTCGCGATCCAAGATTTAAGGAGCTGCGTTTCGAAGAATACTTGCTCCAACAAAGCGCAGAAATTCTAAGCGCGGTAGCCGACGAAACGGCGACCGGTAATCACCACCGAACGGCGCCGGCGGGCAGCCTGTGGGTTGGGACGGCAAAAGAAAAGGACAGGAGTTGGCGTCGAGGCGAAGCGAGGCGAGACGAAAAGATTACTATGCTCGTAGCCGATACAGGTGGCGGCGATAACTTTGGACGAGATGAAGAGTTGAAGAGTGGAGCGGCGTGCCGCGGGGCGGCGGACGGGACGCGATAGGACGAAGTAGGATCCAGGATGCAGGAGACAGGGGGGGTTTGGAGGTGGTGGAGGAGAAGGAGCAGAGAGGAGGGTGTAGACGAGAAGAGAGAAACGGAGAAAGACGAAACCAGAGGAAGGGGATGGACGGTCGGCGAGAGTTGAAAAGGGATGTCGGAAGTGGGGTCGAGAAGGCAGGACGAGGACGGAAACGGGAATGACGAAGAGGAGAAAATGGTAGGCGATCGAGAGGTGCAAGGGGTGCGCGGAACGAGCAAGGGCGTACGGTGGTTGCGATGTAGAATCGGTCGGCGAAGGGTGGTAGTTGGTAGGCTAAAACTGGAGGTGGTGGAGGTGGAGGTCGAAAGAGGAGGGGAACATACATGCCTAGTCGTGGCAGGACTCGGAGGAAGGGGTACGAAGGTATCGTAGCGAGGTGAGCGAGGGGTGGAACGAACGGGGCGACGAGGGGATGAAACGGGACGGTTTCGCGACGGGTTACGGAGAGGTAGGAACGGTAGGAACGAGGGCAGAGGCAGGAGGAGAAAGGAGGAGGCGGAGGAGAAGGTAACGTGGCTGGATAGGTGGGGTGGCCGACACAGGGGTAGCGATAGGATTCTGGGGGTTGGAAGCAGCTGAGAGCAGTACGCGAGTAGGTCACACCACAGAGGAGAGCGGTAGTTCGCGTTTGGCTGACGGTTCGTCCGTTCGATTGGACGGGACCTGCGATTCTCGTTCGACCGGCGCTACGTTTTCGCTGACGGTGACGGTTGTGTCCGCGTGTCGTTGCGCGAGGAACGAAACGGGTGAACGTTTCCGTACCCGAACAACCTCGTCGATATCGGCCTGGATCGCGACGACGAGTCAAAAAAAAAAAAAAATCCTCCGTCGACGCTCGAACCGTCCCTCTGTCCACTCGGAGGAAGAGGACATTGTCGAAGAGGACTTTGCGTCTTCGCCGTAGGTAAGCGTGCGGGCCCCTTGTTCGACGGGATCCGTTCGCCAGCGATCGAAGGATCATTTCGTCCAAGAGCGAGGGGGGAGGGCCAGCTCACGCGCTTTCGCTACCACGACGCGTAACGCCTTCGATCGGTTGATCGTTTCGCGGTCAAACTCGAATCGATTCATGGGTGACAGACGACGAATGAACCGAGAAGAGTGGGACACGAAGAAGACGAAGGAGATCTTCCGATGAGTTTCATCCAAGCCACGGGCCACGGAGGTGACTCTTGACGCTCGAGGAAAGATCATCCTCAAGGAGACGCACAGAGAAACAGAGAGAAACGGTTCAGAGAACGCTGAAATAGACGCAATCATCGAGAGTCAGTCATCGAGAGTTCGCCAAGTTATTGTTCTCGCGGCTCGTTAAACGAATTGTTACTTGTTACTCGTTGTTCGTTTGTAGATCTTGTTGTAAATCTCGCGCGCCCACCCCGAGAACACCGCGATAGAGGTGGATCGTTTTACTCGGGACGATTACTTCGGTCGCGTTATTTTTCAATCGATCTACGGGCCATCGTAGCGCGTTGGTGCGAACGTTCCGAAATTTCGCCACCCCCGAAGCCTTGGTTATTCGGGGGCTGTCATCTCGAGGGAAGACGGAAACGCGCGCAAGCCGGAACGACCCCCTGTCGGCCGATTCGAATAATTCGAGTCTCGTCGGTGGCATCGAAGGCCGTATCGCCAGTCTCGACCAAATTCGTCGGCCGACCCGTCGATTAATTTTCCCTCTCTCCCCGTACCAGCCCGGGTGAAACCAAAGGGTGTCGAATCTGGATCCCCGAGGACAGTTGGAAGGTCTCGAGCGGAGAAGAGGAGGACGCGATCGAAATTCCCCATCGAGGATCGTCGGGAAGTGATTCGAGCGGCGTCGACGCTCGTTTCCGCATCGATTGGAGATAATTCAATGGAAGCGTTCTTCGGAAGAGGGTAAAGTGCGACGGGTGGGGGGGGGTGGTGGTGCAAACAATAGAGGAAGGTGAATTACCTGTTTGTGCGCGTAAGAGGGCGTCGAACTTGTTAACGGTTCGAGTCACCCTGGAAACGGTACAACGAAGCCTCGACGAGGACGACCTGGCATTTTAACGGGGCGAGACGAAGGATCGCGGGACATCGAGTCGTGAAACGTAATCAAAAGGGGGGCGAAACGAATCATGCGATACGACTCGTTGAGGAACGCGTTAAGGGCACGACGCAACCAAGTTACGAAGGCGAAGGAGAACGCGAGCCGCTCGATCGGCGACGAGAGCGTGGAGTCACTCGATTAGGAGAATCGAGAGTCGTCAGCGGTCGTGCACACACGTATCAGGTGGCTGGGAGCCCGTGATACCGATCGCGATTACGATTCGACGAGACGCGGTTTACCGAAAAGAAGGAGATCCAACCGATCGAAGCCTTGCACGGCAAAGTTATTCTCTTCCTCCTTTAGTTCGGTTGCCGGTGAACGATCGAATATGGAAATCGCAGCCTCTGCAATGTTGGATGGCCTGAAAAATAATCGAATCAGCAAGTTGGCACTGTCGCGGTTCTTGTCGCAGAGTCTGTGAGTAAATTAACCCCGGTCGTTGGTCACGAGCACGTAATCGATTCGACGCGATATACGAGTAACGAGGGTGCTCGAAAGCATCGGCACGTAGCGCGCACTAATTGATTGCTTGGCTGTTGTCTATGCTTCTGCCGCGTTTCCTCGTCATCCTGGACGAGTTTCGGTTCCGTTCGAGGCTTACGCCTTCAAGAATCGTCTTGTCGCGATGCCTGCTGCACATCCTTTCCGCCCCCTCCCCCCTTAGCCTCCCCCCAATCGTGGCGCCAACCATCTCGCGCAGGCATCGCGTTCAATCATCGTTAGCGATAGGCTGTCGAATCTGTGCCCCGAAAGGAATTGGAAACTTTCACGGATGACGAGCTTCCAATCTTTTCGAACATTATTCGATACCAGGTCTTGATTCCAAGTCTCGGGAAAGATTACAGAAATTAGAGACTACAAAGGATTCGGGACTTTCAAGATCACGGAGCTTTAGATATACGTCGATCTTAGAAGGTCTTGAAAGCCTTGATTCTTCTCGAAGATCGAATCTAACGTTTGCAAAGGACCTGACACTTCCACGACTACGAAGTTTTGGATTGCTTCCTATGGAGTTTGAGATTAGAAGGTCTTGGAAGTCTCAACCAGCTTTGAATCATCTTGAACTTGATTCGATACTAAGTCTTGGGAGTCTCTGACGACTTTGTAATCTTGAATCGTCTTAATGATCAGATGTGGCATACGAGAAGGATTCAAGATTTCAAATTGCGTCGACCATAATTCGACGAAGATTGTATTAGGGGCTTCAAAGAGACTCCATACTCCCAAGACTGCGCACTTGGAACATTATTCGATCTCAGGTCTTGGGAGTCTAGGTCGATCTTAAAATTTCGTTTTCCCTTGAACACTGAGCGAAGATTTTGAAGGCGATTCGCCACTTTCGAGACTGTAAACATCCAAATTGCCTGGAATTCGTTCCCGGAAAGTCTTGATTCCCCTTCAAGATCGAATCAGTGTTTTGAAAAGGATTCGAAACTTCCAAGGCTTCCTGAAGATCTCGAAAGTTGTGCCGAGGAAGATTAATTTCTGGAGGAAGACAATCTCATCTCTTTTTGTTCAGGACAGCATTGTGTGTCAGGTTGTGGTGTCAATCTTTTCCCTGAACCTCGACCTTCGGAATAGATCGTAGTATAAGCGTACGAACGAACTACAATAGTAAAAAAGAGGAATGAAATGTTAGAAAGAAAAAAAAAATGAAAAGAAAAAAGGGAGAGATAAATCATAGTACTGTCGAAACAAGGACTACGTTGTTATTTCCACGTGGGTGAACGTTGAGGGTAGCAAACGAAAAAATACGAACGAATTGGTCTCCTCTCGACTTATCGTCGAGCAACCACGCAGGAAATAATTTGCCAACGGTAACCACGCAAATCGCGGGGAGGCAGATTCGATTATATTTTTTCGTTTGCTACTCTCGACGACAATCGACGTGGAAGTAATATTTCAAGTCTTTGTTCCGTCTGTTCCAGACTGCTATATAAAACAATGTTTATTTTCGCGTTATTTATCTTGGAGAAGGACAAACGAATCACTGTTGTTTCTTTTTTTTCGAACGAATTTCAAAGTTTTTAAATAAAATTGACGAAGAAGGTGAAGCATTCTTCAATGGTCAGTGGATCAATGCAACACAAACATAGACACATTCATCAGGTCCTCCTTTTGTTCGAAACATTCCCAAATAAAATTAACGAAGAAGGTGAACCATTCTTCGATAGCCTATAGATCGATACAACGTAAATATAGCACCATCGGTTTCTTCTTTTGTTCGAAGGATTCCCAAATAAAATTAACGAAGAAGGATAATCCTCCACCGATCATTGAAGTACTCGCTTCTCTTTCTCCCACTTTTATTTCTGAAAGGAATTTAGCTCCAAGTACCAAGGTTTTCAAAGTCTTGATCCCTTTCAAGGATCTGTTGGTATCGACTAATGTTCAAACGTTCGACGTCACAGATTCGAAACGATCCAATCTCGAGTCCCCGGCGCTGGTTCATGGTAGATTGTGCGTAGTTCGCGCGAGTGCAACACTGAACGCGGGGTAACAACCAACTCACGGGGCGCACTTTGCTCGCCGATCGCTTCGTTGCCGCTTTCTAGTTACGCTTTTGTCTCGCGCGACGGACAATCGAGGCGAGTAACGCGCGAGAAATTGCCCGTGCCCATGCAAAGACTCTCGACCTTGCTTATCCACCCTTCAACAGGGGGTGATTCCAGAAACTGAGCCTCGTTTCCAAGCTAGATACTGAATACTGATACAGGAGGGGAAAAATTGAATCTCAGAATGGGGGACTCTATCTTGATGACATAATTTTTTTCTTTTTAGTGCAATAATGGAGGTGCAGCATGCACTTGCACTTCTTTCTATAATATGTATGGCTCTGCTCTTGGTTTCAGAAAAATTGAATGCCAGAATGGGGACTTTATCTCGATGACATAATTTTCTTTAGCATTTCTTGTTACAATTGTTCAGTTCCAATTTGCTCGACATTCCAATTGTGCTCGAGCAATTAGTTTTGATCTTAAAGTTCGTGTCGTCGATTGAAAGAAGAGGCCGCGAGTGCACTCGGTCTTCGGGTTTCTGTTTAATTTATAAAAGTGTATTCGCAGTCGTACCACGGAGAGAGAAGGAGGAACTAGAATTAAAGGGAGTGTGGCACGAATAAGTAGAATGTGGACAGCGTCGGAGTAATTTTGCCTTATGAAGGCTGGGTACGACGTCTGACCCAGTGTGATCCGCAAGGGAAGTTCCTTTTTTTTCTCCACGAAATAGGATATTTGATACAGCTCTGCAACGTTCTCTCTATTTCTATCTGAACTTTCACGTCATAAAATTATGTAAATAATTGATTCTCAGTACGAGTCAAATAGTTTTATTATCTGCATAAAAAAAACGTGTTCATCGATAGTTTCTTTTGATCTTCTTCAGTTTTCAGTATATATAAAAAATCTCTGATGAATATCTACCTAGGAATATAAATTAATTTTTATATGTATACTTTTACCTGAGATGAAGTATCGATTGATGGAATGGAACTGTATGATTCGATTTTAGAAACAAGTGCAATATGCAGTTTAATGCATCTGTACATCCACCTGCACCGTTGGAAGAAAACAAAAGGATTATGTCAGCGAAAGATAGACCCTCGTGCCTAAACTACTCTTGGAAATGAACGGCGGCTTGTCCCAGTTTCTAGAATCACCCTGTATCGTGGTGGGCGTTCGAATCTGTGTCTCGAAAAAGATTCGAAACGTTCAAGATTGTGAAGATTCGAACCGCCTCGAGCATAGCTCGATACCAGAAGGAACTGACTCTCATTTCGATGCATAAATAAATATATACATGGCAATCATAATCGATGGCAAAAGTACAACAAAGGAAAGTATACGAAATTCCTTGAAAATATTCAAGTTTACTCGCTCATGAAGACAGTACATATACATACATTATTTACAAATCTGTAAATTATTCATAAATGCTCCCGCCAAAAAATCATGTCATCCACGCAAACACAATATAAACACCCAAAACACCATAAACGAGAAAACACAGCTCATCGACGCACGAAAGTAAGCAACTCGAACGTGTTCGCGACATTTTCTTTAGAAAGTTGTTTACACGCTTTCCCGCTTTCCCTCCACAATTTATGTCAACGATACCTTTCGACGGCAAGCATTCGAGTTTCGAAGCGCTCGAAACCCATCAAGACTTTCAAGACCCATCAAGCCTGTCAAGAACTTCTGGTATCGAATAATGTTCGAAGCGATTCGAATCTGACGTCACAGATTCGGAGAGATTCGATCGATCTCGAGTCCAACCGCTATCCACCAAACCCCCACGTCGAGTGCGGCGGCCCCCCCCCGAGATCGAGCTCTTCACCCATCGATCTTCGACGAGAGATCGAATCGTCGTCGACCCAAAACGACGTAGTCGAGTTTAACTTGGCCTTCGACGTGCGGCGAGTTGCGTAAAAAGAAGTATCATGCGAACGAGCCGCGTTATCGTAGAGGTAGAGGTAGAATAGAGGTAGACGTAAACGTAGTTTTTGTAAACGTAGAGCTAGAAGTAGTGAGACATGGTTGAAAATGACAGACGAAATGATCGACGAGTGAGAAAGAGAGAATTTCACGTCAACGCCAATCGGGCGCGAATATGAAGTCTTAGAGATAAGCAAATACTATCTGGAGCACGCTTGGAACTTTCAGACCCCCGATTCCGATGAAACTTTCCGCAAATGTTCAATTTATAAAGTTTCCACCTGGAAATATTTGGTAGGAAATTTTCACGAATTTATTAATTGAGAGCTAGGTAGATGTGCGTGTTATGTTACTGCTATTTTATAGTTTAAGGGAGAAACCACCCCTTCTATTCACATTTCCACTTGTATATGTTTCCCTACTATAGAAACTATAGAAACTACTAATCTAGCTTTATCCTGAAATAATAATTTTATACGACCTGTGTGTACTAAAGAAGACACAAAATCCGAGTTAAAAATGGGTGAAACAATTATAAACAATAAGCGCCACGCCCTGTTTATGTACAACTATAAAGCAGTATTGCAATATTAAATTCAACTTCGATAAAAAGACTGCGAGAATAAAAAAAAGCTTGGCACTCGAAAAAGTGACTTTCCATGTTTTCGGTCTTTGTTAAATAAAATAATCCGTAACTATTCTGTTTGTAATTTAAGAGACTCGCGTATGATGATACGTTGGAAATTCTAAATGGCTCCGATATAGTGGTTTCCCTCTTAAAATTGAAGAGTAGCAGCAACAATGCACGGCACAGTTCTTATTATTAGATTGAAGCAACGAGCGTCTGTGCAAAGTTTCATTAAAAACAGCGTTTGACAGTTTGCAATGTTCGCTTGTGAGCGGAAACTTCGTTGTACACTGAATTTAAATGGTACAGATAATATGAATAATGTAGGCGACAGCCATATTGTGGTTACGAAGCTT